GTGCAGCAGAACCGCGCCGTCCTGGACCACCAGCAGTTTGACTTTGTCGTCCGCATGATGAACTGCTGCCTGCAGGTGAGGCGGCCGGCACGGGGCCCGCAGGGGTCCTGGCACTGCCAGGGGGTGGGGGAGGCCCTGGTCTGTGGGTGGGTACTGGGTTGTCCTGCCCTGAACCTTTGAACAGCCCAGGGCAGCCTGGGGAAGGTTCAGGAACCGTAGTGGTTGGTGCCCTGGGAGGCGAGGCGTGGAGGAAGGTCTGACGGCTCTGCCGCTGCCGCAGGACTGCACCTCTCTGGACGAGCACGGCATCGCAGCCGCCCTGCTGCCCCTGGTCACTGCCTTCTGCCGGGTGAGTGCTGGTGGCCCTGTGTGCCCTCCCCCCCGCCCCTTCCCGTTGCCCCTGCTGACACCCGCCTGGCCTCTGTAGAAGCTGAGCCCGGGGGTGACGCAGTTTGCGTACAGCTGCGTGCAGGAGCATGTGGTGTGGAGCACGCCCCAGTTCTGGGAGGCCATGTTCTACGGGGATGTGCAGACCCACATCCGGGCCCTCTACTTGGAACCTGCCGAGGACCGAGACCCCTCCCAGGTGTGTGAGGACTCCGGGGCCTGGGAGTGGGGGGCGGGGCTTGCCCGTCCCGGCTCACCTCAGCTATGGCAGGGCTGGGAGGAGCCTGCAGAGGAGGAGCGCTCGGCCCTGGATGTGGCGTCCGAGCAGCGGCGTCTGTGGCCCATGCTGAGCCGCGAGAAACAGCAGGAGCTGGTGCAGAAAGAGGAGAGCACGGTGTTCAGCCAGGCCATCCACTACGCCAACCGCATGAGCTACCTGCTGCTGCCCCTCGACTCCAGCAAGAGCCGCCTGCTGCGTGAGCGCGCAGGGCTGGGCGACCTGGAGAGCGCCAGCAACAGCCTGGTCACCAGCAGGTGGGTGGGCCTCCGTGGGCCTGGGGCGGGGGGGGGCTTGGTCGTGAGGCCTGTACCCACCATGCCCTCCCGGCCCAGCATGGCGGGCAGTGTGGCCGAGAGCTATGACACGGAGAGTGGCTTTGAGGACGCAGAGACCTGTGACGTAGCCGGGGCTGTTGTCCGCTTCATCAATCGCTTCGTGGACAAGGTCTGCACAGAGAGTGGGGTCACCAGCGACCACCTCAAGGGGCTGCATGTCATGGTGCCAGGTATGGGGGGTCTGGGTCTGGACACGCTCCCTGTGGGCCCTGGGCGTGGCCCCGGGTGAGGACTGTTGTCTCCCAGACATCGTCCAGATGCACATCGAGACCCTGGAGGCCGTGCACCGCGAGAGCAGGAGGCTGCCCCCCATCCAGAAGGTGCGTGGGGCCTGGGGGGCTGGGCCCCGGCCTGGGCTGGGTCCTGAAGCGCCGCTTCTGTGTCTGAGCAGCCGAAGCTGCTGCGGCCTCACCTGCTGCCTGGCGAGGAGTGTGTGCTGGACGGCCTGCGTGTCTACCTGCTCCCCGACGGGCGTGAGGAGGGCTCTGGGGGCAGCGGGGGTGGCCCCGCAGTGCTCCCGGCCGAGGGTGCCGTCTTCCTCACCACCTACCGGGTCATCTTCACGGGGATGCCCACCGACCCCCTGGGTGAGCCTGTGGACACGCCTCTGTCCTGCCTCACACCCGGGGCTTTGGAACGAGTAGGACTCTCCCTGCCTCTCCTTCCCCATCTCGGGTGCAGGTCCCTGCTTCCCTCCCCCTGCCCGGCCCCCTTAGCCCTGGGACCCCAACGTTGGGACTGTCCCCTCCCGTCCCCTGACTCTGTGCCGCCTGTCACAGTGGGGGAGCAGGTGGTGGTCCGCTCCTTCCCGGTGGCCGCGCTGACCAAGGAAAAGCGCATCACGGTCTCGACGCCCGTGGAACAGATCCCGCAGGTGGGCCCGCGGGGGGGGGTGGGGTGGCAGGACGCAGTGGGTGATCTGCCAGCTTTGGGGCGCTCCTGTTTGCTCTACGGGGCCCCCACCTTTGAGTCTGTGTCTGGAGTGTGCTGCATAAGCTCAGCACGACCCAAATGTACACGGATGAGGAGGAAGCACGGTTAGAGGCCGTGCTCCGCGGCCTGACAGCCACACTGGCCGGTGGCGAGGGCCCGTGTGCCCAGTGCTGGCGGCGCTCCCTTGGAGCGGCACACCTGCCAGCCCCAGGTGTGCACGGCACGATGCAGAGGCAAGGGGGCCCTTCACAGCCGGGCGCTGGGCCTTCCCCGACCCCCGGGGCCCATCTGGTCGCAGGGTGTTGACCATCCACCTCATTTGGGAGGCACAGGGCTTCCTGTAGGCTCGCCCGACCTCAGAGGTCTTGTGTCTGACGCAGCTGCTGAAGATGGCCTTCGACGAGGAGGTCGGGTCCGAGAACGCCGAGCTCTTCCGCAAGCAGCTGCACAAGCTGCGGTACCCGCTGGACATCAGGACCACCTTCGCCTTCACCCAGGGCTCCGCGCACACGCCCAGCCGGCCGCCCCGCACCACCAAGGACAAGGGTCCCTCTCTCAGGTGTGGAGCGGGGCCCGGTGCCAGGGAGCCCACACCTCCCAAACTGCTGGGCGCAGGCCTGTGCCTGTCTGCTCACTGCTGACCTCGCACTCCAGGACCCTGTCCCGGAACCTCGTGAAGAACGCCAAGAAGACGATGGGGCGGCCGCACGTCACTCGGAAGAAGTACAACCCCCCCAGCTACGAGCACAGGGGCCAGTCCCCCGAGGACCAGGAGGATGAGATCTCAGGTGGGGTGCGGGCAGCCCTGGGTGCTCGGGGTGAAAACCCCTGTGCAGGGGCCCTGGTGCTGTGGGGGTGACGATTCCTGTTGCCTGGCCTACCCAGTGTCAGAGGATCTGGAGCCCGGCACGCTGACCCCGACCTCGGCCCTGAAGCCCTCCGACCGCATGACCATGAGCAGCCTGGTGGAGCGGGCCTGCTGCAGGGACTACCAGCGCCTGGGCCTGGGCACACTGAGCAGCAGCCTGAGCCGCGCCAAGTCGGAGCCCTTCCGCATCTCCCCGGTCAACCGCATGTACGCCATCTGCCGCAGGTGCGTGCTGGCCTGGAGGAAGCCACGGGCTGGGGTGCTGCCTGCAGCCGCCTCACCTCACGCCCCCCCACAGCTACCCGGGGCTGCTGATCGTGCCCCAGAGCGTCCAGGACAATGCGCTGCAGCGTGTCTCCCGCTGCTACCGCCAGAACCGCTTCCCCGTGGTCTGCTGGCGCAGTGGACGCTCCAAGGCTGTGCTGCTGCGCTCAGGGGGCCTGCATGGCAAGGGTGTCGTCGGTCTCTTTAAGGCCCAGAACACGCCTTCTCCAGGTACCCTCCCTCGTCCTCATGCGTGCCCTGGGCCCCGTGCCCCATGCCCACTGCCCACTGCAGCTCTGCCTCCTGCCCCAGGCCAGTCCCAGGCGGACTCCAGCAGCTTGGAGCAGGAGAAGTACCTGCAGGCCGTGGTCAGCTCCATGCCCCGCTACGCCGACACATCCGGCCGCAACACCCTCAGCGGCTTCTCCTCAGCCCACATGGGCGGTCATGGTGAGGGGGCTCATGGGCCAGAGGACTTTTGGGGGTCATGGTGACATTTATGGAGGGCAGGTCAGTGAGGGGGCAGAATGTTTGGGGTCTGAGATGAGGGAGAAGGTCCAGCATGGGACCAGGTAAGTGCCCTGAGTCCCTGCTCTGACCACTCCTATCCCCCCCACTGCGCTCCCTGACCTCCCGGCCGTCCATGGACACAGCATCCCTCCTGCATCCCCTCAGCGTCCCCATGGCCCACTCCATCCAGCCAGCCTCCCTCTTGGCTTCTCTCCTTATCTGTCCTGGCCCCTTGGGCCTTGTCTGCACTGGTCTCCCCATCCCTGTCCCCACCACGGCCCCCTCCGTGCACACTGGACCCGCTGTCCCCAGGTGGCCCATGCTGGCAGGACTCGCCCTCCCTCTGTCCACGCCAGCCCTGCCCAAGAGCCCGCCCTCTTCTGTGGCTCTGCCCTGCACGCAGAGAAGGCCCCAGGCCCTGAAGGTCGGGCGGAAGGCCTAGGGCCATCAGTGGACCCTGCCCTTTGCTGCAGGGACACGTGCAGGGTGGCCCCTGTAGAGGGGTGGTCTGGCTGCCTGGGCAACAGGTGGGGAACTATTGAGGAGGTGAGCCAGGTGGGTGCTGGGTGCGGGGAGAGGCTCAGATTTCGGGAACCACCCATGAGGGCCTCATTCTGTAACAAGGGAGGAGTGTCTTCCTCGGGGTCCCACTCCAAGGCACTTACTTCTGCATCCCCTTTCCCACCTGATCTCATAGGCTTCTGCCTGACCCCAACCCCCCCCACCCCCCACACACCGTGTCTAACCCTGTCTCCCCCATCTGCCTCCATTTCTTCCATCTGACCCCGTCTCTCCATCTGACCCCATCTCTCCATCTGACCCCGTCTCCCCCTCTGACCCCGTCCCCATCTGAGACCCCATCTCTCCATCTGACCCTGTCTCCCCCTGGCTGCCGTGGCTCAGGTGCCACATGAGGGCCACTTCTCCGTGAGCCCCACCCCATTGGTGCAGAGGGGATGTGGTGGTTGCTTCTTGGTCAGACCTCTCTGGTTCCCTCCATCCCTACTCTCGTACTTGTCCGTGTTTTTCTCTGCAGTCAGCACGCTGGGGTGACAGGTGGGTTTTGGGGGCTGGTGGAACTCCCCCCAGGCCAAGCCTTCCAGAAGCCCGTACGTCCTCCTCCCGTCTCCCCATCTGCCCCCGTCTCCCCATCTGACCCCGTCTCCCCATCTAACCCCATCTCTCCATCTGACCCCGTCTCCCCATCTGACCCCGTCTCCCCATCTGACCCCATCTCTCCATCTGACCCTGTCTCCCCCTGGCTGCCGTGGCTCAGGTGCCACATGAGGGCCACTTCTCCGTGAGCCCCACCCCATTGGTGCAGAGGGGATGTGGTGGTTGCTTCTTGGTCAGACCTCTCTGGTTCCCTCCATCCCTACTCTCGTACTTGTCCGTGTTTTTCTCTGCAGTCAGCACGCTGGGGTGACAGGTGGGTTTTGGGGGCTGGTGGAACTCCCCCCAGGCCAAGCCTTCCAGAAGCCCGTACGTCCTCCTTGATTCTGAGTCCCCAGGTCTGCCATCCTCCACCCCTGACTGGAGGAGGGGCTCCAGGTGCACGAGGGCCTCGCCTGCCCCTCCTGCCCTCACGCTCCCTCAGTGTCTGAGCAGCCTCCCTCCCAACCTGGCCTGTAGTCTCAGCCCGCACTTCAGGGCTCACGTCCCCTGTCCGTCACCACTTACTGGGCACTGGGGACAAGGGGGCCGGGAACAGGCAGCCAGGCACCCTGGTGGGTGCGCATGGGGATGTCCTCTGGGGCACAGGTCTGACCTTCTCCTCAGCGCTCTGGTTCGTGGCTTCTGCTTTTCCACACATCAGGGGCCACCTTTGCATGCGATTGTGGGGACACGGTGGCACTGCCACCCACCCTACCCTGGTGCCTGCACCTCCCTGTGGCCACCTGGGCACTTCTGGCTCCACAGCCTCCTGGTCCCCCAGCTTCAGGGCAGCCCAGGCTCCGTCCACGTGACAAGGACACCTGTGTCCTCCCTGGGTGTGCCTCCTGTCCCCGCGTGGAGGGGCGCTAGTGGGCAGGGCCGTGTCCCTGCAGCCGCCTCAGGCGACCAAGGCTGGATGCAGGCTTTGGAGCAGCTGCCTGGCGAGGTTCCCTGTGCCTCAAGCTGGGCCGGACCAGCCCATGAGCCTTGGGCCTTCCTCCCCGGTGGACAGCACCGCTCGGCCTGGGGCTGGGCTGGGCCATCTGTGTCCTTGACTGCACGTGCTCCCTGGCTGCGGCTGGAGCTCCCGGATCTGGTGGCTGCTGGGAAGAGGCTACTTGGTGGGATGTGCTGTGAGCGGCTTGGGGCCGTGCTGTGGGGTCCAAGGGCCCAGGGACAGGTCGTAGAGGAGGTATCTGAAGGGGGGCCCAGGATTCCTGCCTCCTCTGACCCTTCCTACCTGCCCCTGCCAGAGGACCTGGGAGAACCCTGCAGGTTGGCCCTGGCGTGGACCCTGCTGTCTGGGAGCTTCTAGGGGGGCTCGGTGGAACCCAGTCCTGCATTGGCCCCTTTGGTCCACAAGACCCCATGCTGGGCACCCACGTGGGCCTGGGCCAGGCCTGAGCCTTCTTTCTGCTGTGCCCCCAGTGCCCAGCCCCAGAGCCAGGGTCACCACGCTGTCCAACCCCATGGCGGCCTCGGCCTCCAGACGGACTGCACCCCGAGGTACCGTACCATCCACTTAGGCTGGCTCCCCACACCTGGCACAGATGCCCCCGTGTGACTGAGTCGTCGTGGGCACTAACGTCCCCCCACGCCTGCCACTAACGCCCCACACAACAGACTGGCATAACTGAGCCCTACCACAGCCCTGGGCACTAACCTGGCCCCCGAGTCCTGCCCCTGCCCCGGCCCTGACGCAGCTCAGGGCCTGCTGGCCTCCCCGCCTCCCCGGGAGCTCAGCCCCAGGTAAGTGGTGCCCGGCCCAGCTCGGGGGCTCACCTGGTCTCTCCTTGCAGGTAAATGGGGCAGCGTTCGGGCCAGCGGGCGCAGTGGTGGGCTCGGTGGTGATGTGGGCTCCCGGCTAGCAGGCAGAGACACGCGGGGGCCCCCCCAGGCGAACGGGGCTCCCCCAGACTCAGGCTTTCCGCGGCCCCAGCGTGCAGCCCTCTACATCATTGGGGACAAGGCCCAATTCAAGGTGACTGGTCGGGGCATGGGGCCAGGTGGGGCCTGGAGCCGGGCAGGTCTCACCCTGTGCCCTCCTCCAGGGCGTGCGACCAGACCCCCTGCAGCAGTGGGCGCTGGTGCCCATCGAGATGTTCGAGGCCCGGCAGGTGAAGACCAGCTTCAAGAAGCTGCTGAAGGCCTGTGTCCCGGGCTGTCAGGACTTCGAGTCCGGCCCCACCTTCCTGCGCTCGCTGGAGGATTCGGAGTGGCTCACCCAGGTCTGCACTGCCCTGTCCCCACTGTGGCCGAGGGCCCTCGGGGGGTGAGGAGATGGGGAGGGGCTGTCAGGCTGCCCCGGGTGCCGGGCCTTCACTCCCTGCTGCCAAGGGCAGGGGAGGTCTTGGCTCACTTATCCAGCAGGGTTGGGCCCTGGGAGGGAGCGACGGCCACTTCCCACCCCGGTCAGGGCCAAGGCTATCCTTGGCGGGGTGCTGTGCATCCCAAGGACGGGCCCCCTCTCCAGAGCTGGGGGCTGGGGAGGGCGGGAGGCAGCAGGGTCCAGCTGTTCGTCGCTGTGCCTACCTTGCCGGCTACCCTGGGTGCATTGCCCACCTGGCTGCCCTCCTGGGGGCGTGTGGGTCCTGGGCTGGTCGGGGCCGGTCTGAGGCTGCTGGTCCCTGCAGATCCACAAGCTGCTACATGTGTCGGTGATGGTGGTGGAGCTGCTGGACTCGGGCTCCTCGGTGCTGGTGAGCCTGGAGGACGGCTGGGACATCACCACGCAGGTGGTGTCCCTGGTGCAGCTGCTCTCGGACCCCTTCTACCGCACACTGGAGGGCTTCCGCCTGCTGGTGGAGAAGGAGTGGCTGTCCTTTGGCCATCGCTTCAGCCACCGGGGGGCCCACACCCTGGCCGGGCAGAGCAGCGGCTTCACGCCCGTCTTCCTGCAGTTCCTGGACTGTGTGCACCAGGTGAGTGGGTGGCTGTGGTGGAAGGCTGGGCCCCCGGGTCCTGGTCCCTGGCTCCTGACCCCTAACCTCTGACCCTGCACAGGTCCACCTGCAATTCCCCATGGAGTTCGAGTTCAGTCCCTTCTACCTCAAGTTTCTGGGCTACCACCACGTGTCCCGCCGCTTCCGGACCTTCCTGCTGGACTCGGACTATGAGCGCATCGGGGCTCAGTGCTGCCCCCTGCAGGGCTGCTGTACGAGGAGAAGGGGGAGCGCAAGGGCCCGCAGGCCTGCAGGTCTGTGTGGGAGTATGTGGACCGGCTGAGCAAGAGGACGCCCGTGTTCTACAACTACATGTACGCGCCCGAGGACACGGAGGTGAGCTGGGCAGGGCCTGGTTGAGCCAGTGGCCTTCTCCTGGCCCAGCTCCTCATGCCACGCCTGCCCCCAGGTCCTGCGGCCCTACAGCAACGTGTCCAACCTGAAGGTGTGGGACTTCTACACCGAGGAAACGCTGGCCCAGGGCCCCCCCTATGACTGGGAGCTGGCCCAGGTGTCCCCGGAGCCCCCGGAGGAGGAGCGCTGACGGCGG